CCAAGCCGTATGGAGTTAGATTAGAGTAGAAAAGGAAGAATAGCAATGATTGAAGATTATTGAATACATAGTATAGTACAGACCTGCCCTTCCACACACAGAGAGAGAGAGATAGAGTAGGAGTTCCACCTACCTTTTAGTGATGTGGATAGGCAACTTCGAAGGTGGAGGCCTCTCTCTCTCTCTCTCCTCTTTTTTGTTTTGTTTTGATTTCGTTTTTCAGCTTCCTTCGTTTTGCATCTCCCTTTCTTTCAGTCTTCTCGACTCGACGACGACCCTTCATATAATAATAAAACAGGTAATTACATTGACACCACTCCAATTTTTGTTTAATACAGATCCTTTCATATTTAAAAACTTATGACTGTGTTTGGAGAAGCTCTCCAAACACATTTTCACCCATTATTTTGAGTGTGTTGTTTATTTAGCGTTTTTAAAAATTAATTTCACACCTACTTCTGAAAACTCTTTCCAATACGAAAAAATTTGAGCGAACCAGTCGTCCTTTCGGACATCCAGTCGGTTGACCGGAACAGTGTTATTTTTTTTTTATTTTTTTTACAATTGGCACCTGTTATTTTTTATATTTTAAATAAAAAAATCGGAATTTTTTAAATTTTTTTATAAATTTTGAATAGAATTTTGAGTTGTGCATTTGCTATGAGTTGTAAGTTTTTGTATCAAATATCATATGTCACATCAAAAATTCTCCACTCAATTCAAAACTCTTTTCAAAACTCATTCATCAAAGAAATTTTTCAAACTCAAATCATAATTCCAAAGCTCGCAAACTCAAAATACAATTCTATTCTTAAATCATATTTAGAAAACTCTACCAAACGCTATCTATATTTTTCTCCCTAAAATTTATAATCTCATTACAAATTACCCATGAATTGTTGATGTCATGTCCTAAAATTTTCTAAATGACCATCTTACCATTTTTCTTACTATTTTTCATCCTATCATCATGACTATATTATATAATTTTTCATCATTAAATTATACCTGAACATATTTTTATTGAGTAATGATATACAAACATAAATTTTATATAGAATTTTTAAACACAATGATATAGCTTAATGGTGACCTTTCACTTTAAAATAAAACACCTATAAACTTGATTTATATTTACAATAATATCACTATCACAGTATTTTTATGATATTTTTTGTATAAATTTTTATATATGAATATAATTTTTCATTTTCATTGCCACCATTATATCTAGATTAAATCAATTTTAATCTAAATATATTTAAAAAATATATAATTTGTATAATTTTTTTTTTTTAAATCGATTCAATATAACAAAATAAGATAAGGTATTGAATTTTGTATTTTTATATTTTTTTTGTATTTGGTGAATTTAAAAGAAAAAATCACAAAATATTATACTTCTTAAGTTTATTTAGATTAAGTGTATCTACAAAAATAAATAAAAATGGCTTAAATATTAAAAAAATAGTAAAAATAAATAAACTTAATTTTTTGTGTAAGTTAAACCAAAGAAGATGATTGTTATTTCTCTTAAAATGACATAAACAAAATATATCTATTATTTTGTTATTTTAAATATATCAAGGTTAAGGGACAAATATATCATTTCAATGTAACATGAGTAAGTACAATTTTTTAAATAGAATAAAGAATCTATATTAAGCAAAAACTTGAGCGGGTGTCAATGTAATTTACCCTAATAAAACTGACTACTTGGGCTGTGATGGACTAGGCTGGGTTAACAAAAGGAGCCGTGATCCATACACCCACTGGGGGTCGCGCCCCCAGTGACGTGGCGCGCCCCCAGTGGCTGAAAACTTAAAAAAAAAAAAAAAAAAAAACAGTTTTTTTTTTTGGACCAATCCGGGGCCGACACCTCACTGGGGGTCGACCCCCAGTGGGGGTATGAAGCTTTTCTGTTAACAAAAGCCATTCAATTTGGGATCTTCTTGGGAGTCTTATAGTTTAGCGACACTTACAGGGGTTTCTATTAATTAGATTTATTTATCTATAAATTTGATTGATAAATTTATTATTATAAATTTATAAAAATGATATACAAACTTACTTTCTAAATCTATTTTTTAGACTCAATGATGTATAAGTAATATGATTAGAGAAAATATGAAAGAGAATATTGTCTTTAGTATTCTAATTGATTGTCACATCACTGGACTAGAGAATTCGACTTAGTTTTTGAATAATGCTATATGTACCAATTAGTATACTAACTAGTGTATCAATTGATGATGTGACATAATTTAAGATATTTTTGGTAGTATTTATAATTTGTATAATGCGTGAGGCCAATAATAATGCCATAACTAGTGTTGGTACACTAACTAATTGGTGCATATAGCACCACTGACTACCATTTTTTCTACACACACAAAGAATAAGAAATATTAATAAATTTATCACTGAAAAATAAATATAAATCTGAAACAAAAAAGGCGGTGGCGATAGGGTGGTTGTGTACATTGGCGATGATCAAGGACGGATCTAAGATTATCACTATAGGGGTTCGAAAGTATGTTTGAGAATGCAAATTCTTATAATTGTTAATTATTTTTAATTTTCTAGTATAATATATGATATTTTTCAAATTTTTTGAAGTGTTGTCGCCCCTCTTCGCACCCTCTTAGATCCATCATTGGCGATAATGGAGTGTAGATCTACAATAATAAAGTGTAGATTGGCAACGACAAACTGTAAATCTACAATAATGATTGAGATAGTTGGTGAATGATGGTGGCATCTGAATAATGACAGTGGTGGTGGTGGGTGGACGATGATAACAGTAGTGGTGTGGTGATGAGTAGACGGCGACGGTGGTGATAGACAATGGCGGTGTAAAACTTTTTTTTTAAAAAAATGATGGATAGAGAGAGAGAGAGAGATAGATAAGAGAAGATGAAACAATTTAATAAGCATAAGTATTATAAGACTTATTGGTGCATTAAAAAAGTCAATAAAACTTAATGATATTTAAATGTATTTAATTGAACTAATTGATAATTACCCTATAGTGTTTAATGCTCTCCCCAAATAATATCTTATGATTTCTTCTGAGGTTATTTTTTAAATTTATTTGCATAAGCATTTTTTTTTTCTAGTGTGTCACATCATCAATATTTCTAATTAAGGCTAAAATAAAATACAAGTAAATATAAAAAAATGGCTCTCCTATATAGCGACTAAATGATCATATCAAACATAAATTAATCGGGTCAAATGAATGAGAGTTTTGAACATATGTTCTTTCATTTGATCTAATCAGATTTTTAGGTGAAAATTAAATCATAGTATAGTATGGTAATGGTGAAAATTAATCAGATTTGGATGACGATGATGACAGTGGTGATGGTGACGACAACAATGGTGGTGTGAAACTTTTAAAAAAAATGGTGGATAGAGAGAATAAGATTAGAGAAAATGAAACAACTTGATAAATTTAAGTATTATAAGACTTATCGGTGCATTTTAAAAGTCAACAAAACTTAATGATATTTAAATATGTTTAATTGAACTAATTGATAATTACCCTATAGTGTGTTTAATGCCGTCGCCCAAACAATATCTTATGATTTCTCCTGAAGTTATTTTTTTAATTTATATGCATAAGTCATTTTTATTTTTATTTTTCAAGTGTGTCACATCATCAACATTTATAATTAAGGCTAAAATAAAATAAAATAAAAAATAAAAAAATTGGCTCTCCTATACTGACCAAATGATCATATCAAACATAAATTAATCAGGTTAAATGAATGAGAGTTTTGAACATGTATTCTTTCATTTGATCTAATCAGATTTTGAGGTGAAAATTCAATCATAGTATGGTATGGTAATGGTGAAATTAATCAGATTTGGATGATGATCGGTAATAGTGATGAGTAGATGGCGACGGCAATAGCGACAGTTATGGTAGACAATGGTGGTGTGAAACTTAAAAAAAAAAATGGTGGATAGAGAGAGATAGATAGGGAGAAGAAGATGAGAAAAAATAAATAGGTATAAGTATTATAAGACTTATTGGTACTTTCAAAAAGTCAATAAAATTTAATGATATTTAAATATATTTAATTGAACTAATTGATAATTAATGCTGTCACCCAAATAATATCTTATGATTTCTCTTGAGGTTATTTTTTAAATTTATATGCATAAGTCATTTTTATTTTTATTTTTCAAGCATGTCACATCATCAATATTTCTAATTAAGGCTAAAATAAAATGCAAGTAAATATAAAAAAAAATGCCTTCTCAATCAATACCGACGAAATGATCATATCAACCATAAATTAATTGGGTCAAATGAATGAGAGTTTTGAACATATATTCTTTCATTTGATCTAATCAGATTTTGAGGTGAAAATTCAATAAATTAATTGGGTCAAATGAATAAGAGTTTTGAACGTATATTGTTTCATTTGATCTAATCAGATTTTGAGGTGAAAATTCAATCATGGTATAATATGGTAACCTTTTCACGCAATTTCAGTTCCTAGCATAATGGGGAGTGATGCTACTACAGAAATGTTCAAAGATTATACATTGGAAATTAAGACCTCATTTGACAAGTGATTTTGTTAGTCAAAAAGTTAAAAAATTATTAAAAAAATTTAAAAGTCAACAATTCATATTAAAAAATTAAAAATTCTTTTTTTTTTATTTTTTATACATCTTTTCGTAAAAAGTTAAAAAGTCATCTTAAACATATTTTTTTTTACATCACATTTTAGTCAAAAAATTAAAAAATTACTAAAAAAAGCACGTTCCTAAACGAGGCCTAAAACATGACACTTTTAATAAAAGTGTGATTAAAAAATCAAATTAATAATTTTAAACATATTTAATTTAATTAAATGTAATATTATTTATTTTTATATCACTTTTTAATTAAATTTGATTATATTTTCGTACGTTCTAATTAACGTGTAATTATATATATATTTTAAATTTTATTTTTATATCTAATATTCTCACACCGAAGAAACAGGAAGCATCCTTGAGGGAAACCGATCGGCCCTCTCTCTCTCTCTCTCTCTCTCTCTCTATCTAAACCCTAATCTCTCTCAGTCGATCGAATCAACAATGATTGGTCTCAGTGATTTCGATTCATCTCAGAGAGGGGGTGAAAGATTCATCTCAGAGTAATTTCGATTTTGATTTCGAAGTTCTCTCTATCGATTTCAAAGTTCTATCTCTCTTGATTTCGAAGCTCCACCACCACCACCGTCTGCACCGGCGAGAGCGAGCACCATTGTTTCCAACACATGAAATGCTTCGTCTGCATCTGCTACTCTGCACATTGTAGCCTGGTACGTCTTCTTCTCCCTCGCCTACTATTTTTCGTTAGTTTAGAATTTTCTTAAAGCTTTGATTTGCTTCATGCTTTTGTCAATTTCACGCTCACTATGTGTTTGACAATATGCCTAAAGGGCTACTTTTCTTATACACACTATACTGTACACCATCACCGCAAATGATCTTCGAAACAATTAAATATTTAGAAAACAAATCAACACACACCTGACTTACAATATGTTAATTCCAGTGCATTGCGACAAAAAAGGATGAAGAAAATAATATGTTTTATCAAGAACATTCAACCACATAAAACCGACTAATTGATGCTTTTCTTTCCCCCCCTCTAAAACATAAACTTGCCATATTGCAGTGAAGATATGGTATCCAAGTACTGGTTCTTGCCATCGAACTATTGATTTAGGGTATGGGCTGTGTGGTTTATTTGTTCCTAGTAACAAGTATGCAGTTGTTGGTACAAAAGTTGGGACTCTAGAAATTATTGATGTTGGTAATGGTACTTGTGTGGAAGTAGTGGAAGCTCATGGTGGCTCCGTCCAATCAATTGTGGCTGTTCCAGATGGAAATGGTTTTGTAAATGGGAGTATTGATCATGATGTCAAGTTCTTGGAGTACCAAACTTTGCAAAAACCTGGTGAAGTGTGTTCTTTATACTCTTTCTTTCTCTCTGCCTGTTTGTGTGTTGTTAAAGACTTTGAACTATTCATCATACCATGGAATGGTGACGACTTCACTTACTTTTCTTTTCTTTTCTTTTTGAAAAATATGTTGTTTCTTGGACAAGTTTTACTTTTCTAGCTCTGTTTCCTGATATACGTAAAGAGTATTAATTATACATGAGCTTTCTATTTGTTCTGTTGAGCACTTTTCTTTTCAAAGTACTGTTTTTGGAATAGTTCTCTGACCTTGAGAAGCCTTGTTGTATAGGAAACTTCTAACACCATATTATTCCATGAACTAATTGTTCTTGTACATTGTACTTTGGGATCAAAATAAACTTTCTTAGTATACACTGGCTACAAATTATGCCAAAGGTTAGGTCTTTACCCAATTTACCCCTTCCAAACCCCCATCTAATAGGGTCTAATGTAGACATAATTTTTTTAAACCCTGCGGCTGCAGATTGCTTTTGAGCTAAGTTCACTGAAATTTATGGATAATATTGATTTGACTCCTATCTTGCTACTTCAGAGTTCATTCAAGTATTCAACATAGTTGGGATATTTTTATAGTTTTGCTTTTGAATAGACAGTATAGGCATCAACTGGATGCATTTATGTTAAAGTTTGCTTATCTCTTTAGTCTACTTCTCCCGCTCTTTCTATATATCTTCCTAGCACAATATGTGTTGGAATATTATGGTTGTTCAAATTTGATTAATGTTTTGGATGTCTTTAGACTGCTAAATAGTGAAACTTTCACATTTGTTATTTTGGTAATGATAAGTTGGTTTGGTCTGGTTACAGGTTTCTAAGCTTCTAACAATCTCTCATGCACGGAATATGAAAATGAATGATGACATTCTAGTGGTTGTTGTTAGCCCTGATTCAAAATATATTGTTGTTGCCCTATTAGATTGTACTATGAAGGTGAGATTAACTTCTCTAAATGTTTTCTGATTAGAATACTCTGTTAAGTTTCTTCATTTCTACTGAATGTTCTTTCTTTATTCTTTCATTTCTGATGGCTATCTTTGTTTCTATTTTTGTTTTATATACATTGTTTACCAATAGATAAATGTGGTACTATTTCCTTTTGTTAATTTAAAATTCTTTAGAATATGATCAGTATGAAGTCTTCTCTTTGTCTAATTTCATATATGTAGTATAGTAGTACCGTAACCATAAGTTTCAGCTACTCTATTAACTCATGGATAGAAGTTTCATGATTAGAGTTGTTGAATATTTGAGTTGAACAGTAAAATTTAGAGTTCCCAGATTTTCTTCTGGGAGCACTACATTTATTTAGGGCACTTTTTTGGGTCATTAGCTTTGTTTTATAACATAGTATAGGCAAAAGGTCCAACTTTTTGAAAAGGCACATAAAAAGTACTAAGTAAATACTGAAGCATAGGATTCTATGGTGGCACAAATACTTCAGGATTCCGGATCTTAGTGATCTCATAACAATTCCATGGGTAAAGATGGCATTTTTTTTTTCTTGTTACAAACCTTATAAATGAACTCTTAAGTGATACCAAATGGGCCCTATAGATAGATGAAGAAAATTTTTGCCACAATATTGGCATTTGATACAGCTCTTGTTTGTAATTATTTTCATATTTTTGTACCCACAAGTGTGCAAATTATCGAAGTGAGTAGAATTTTCAAGTAGGTTTCTTGAGCACAAAAAAGTATGTTAAATTCAACACGAGTAGAAAAATACTTCTTTTTTTTGTACTTTACGTTTTCAGGATACTTGATATTTATAGTTTAAAACTTCCATTTCATGGGAGAAATCTATTTCCTAACCATTAATTTGAGCACTTTATTGATACTAATTTTTTTTCTTGGATTTGATTTTAATTAAAGTTATGGTTTTACTAAAGAAATGTTCTCAAGTACTTAATTGAAGAGACATAGAATTCCCATGTTATCATGTAGGGTCTAAAAGCCATTGATTTGCATAGAAAAATGATAATGAGATGCTATTTATATGTTTGAATAGCTAAGGGCTGCCATTGAGAAGAGTATTGCTATTTTTGACAAAGAGAAAGCACAGGAATGGTTGTCAAAGATATCTGGCGGTGTTGCTGTTTTCAAGGTAAATATTTATTGAATTTATGCTGTTATTTTCTTGACTTCATTGCAAGTCTTCTTCTTTCAGGTTAGAAAGGCTAGCAAGGCAGAAGTTGGAGAAAGGAAAGATCGGGTTACAGATGCTTTAAATGTAACAAGAGCAGCTGTGGAAGGGGGAATGGTTCCAGGCAAGATTGTCTTTTTCATTTTTGATGGTCAATTACATTTCACTTTTGGAGCAAGATGATCTTAGTTTGGTTTTCAATGGCACTACACACATCAATTAATATATCAATTAGTGTATCACCATATGTTATGATATTGTCACTTCAAAATTATAGATCTCACCTATTATACAAATTACAAAGACTCAAAACTTACAAAATTATGCAACATCATACGTTAGCAGTATATCAATTAGTACATTTAACTTTATTGTTTGCTTTTTTGTTCTTTTATAAGTAACCATTTAAAATACAATTCATCATCAACCCAGAAAAGCACTGAAATAAAAAATTTAAAAAACCCAATAATATCTTCATAGCTAAAGAAGCAAAATCATCAATGGTGTTGGAACAAAGGCTTCTGTCTCTACTATACAGGAGCTTAAATTACAACCCAGAGTACAGTAACAAATAAAATTACTCAAAAATGCAAACGCTAATCCCTAGACATCCGAGCAGTCCTTGCCGGTAGGGCAAGAAGGTCTTCTTCTTCATCTCCTCTGCCTGTGCTCAATTCGCAGTGTAATGCAACTCGTGAGCCGACGGCGGAACCCTATGCTTTCCGACGTTGTTCGCTGGTTTTCCAGTGATCGTTTTTTTTAGGAGAACTTGTTTGCTTCGCTTTTGCTTTTGCGTTTCGTTTCTGTTTTCTTGCGATTCTTTTCCTTCTCGTCCTTTAAAGATGATGAGCAAGTGAACGTGATCGATGACCAGAAGTTCTTTTTGTTGCCTTTACCTTCGCTTTTGCTTCTGTACAATAGATCCTTGAAGAATATCCACTTCTTCGAGTTCCTTCCAGACGATGAAGACCTTGAAGACGAAGCAGAGCCTGACAGTGTTGTCTCGATTGACGGAGTTTCAGTTTCTTTGCTCTCAGAATCTTCCAACTCCAGAATGCTATCGAGAAGCAAAAAAACCAAATAATATTTTCATAGCTAAAGAAGCAAAATCATCAATGGTGATTGAAACAAGGCTTCTGTCTCTATTATACAAGAGCTTAAATTACAACCCAGAAAAGCTGAAATTCTGTCGATCGCATTCTGGAGTTGGAAGATTCTGATAACAAAGAAGCTGAAACTTCGTCAATCGAAACAACACCGCCAGGTTCTGCTTCGTCTTTAAGGTCTTCATCGTCTGGAAGGAACTCGAAGAAGTGGATATTCTTCAAGGATCTTTTGTACAAAAGCGAAGGTAGAGGCAATGAAAAGAAGTTCTGGTCATCGATCACGTTCACTTGCTCATCATCTTCAAGGGATGAGAAGGAAGGAAACGCAAAAGCAAAATCGAAGCAAACAAGTTCTCCCAAAAAAATCGATCGCTGGAAAACCAGCGAACGATGTCGGAAAGCGTAGGGTTCTGCCGTCGGTTCACAAGTTGCATTACACTGCGAATAGAGCACAGGCAGAGAAGATGAAGAAGAAGACCTTCTTGCCCTACCGGCAAGGACTGCTCGGATGTCTAGGGATTAGCGTTTGCGTTTTCGAGTAATTTTATTTGTTACTGTACTCTGGGTTATAATTTAAGCTCCTGTATAGTAGAGACAGAAGCCTTTGTTCCAATCACCATTGATGATTTTGCTTCTTTAGCTATGAAGATATTATTGGGTTTTTTTTATTTCAGTGCTTTTCTGGGTTTATGATGAATTGTATTTTAAATGGTTACTCATAAAAGAATAAAAAGGCAAGCAATAAAGTTATATGTACTAATTGATATACTGCTAACGTATAATGTTGCATAATTTTATAAGTTTTGAGTCTTTGTAATTTGTATAATGGGTGAGATCTATAATTTTGAAGTGACAATATCAGAACATATGGTGATACACTAATTGATATCTTAATTGATGCGTGTAGTGCTAGTCGGTCTAAACTTACCAAATCCTAAAGGTTGTTCTAATTATGTTTCTTTCCTTTGTATTTAGATGACTTGTTTTATTTTTGTAATTTCCTTGCTGAAATCTTCATTGACATTGCCATAAGCATTAGGTTATAAGTATTGTAATTGAAACTTGTCATGTAGACAGATTTTCATAGCAATGCTCATTCTGTTTTTTTTTGCTATTAGTGGATGCAAAACTTATTCCTTGTGAAACAGTATCTATACACATTCCCCACAACTAGACAACATCTATTTTCAAGGCAAGAAGGAACACCACCTCACAAATTCACATACAATTTATTTAAGACAAAAAATACACAAATTATGAGAGCATAATATCTCACAAATAAGAACTCGAAACCTAATTAAAATGCATACATATCAATTGCAAATCCAATAACAAATTATGACATGATATTTGAACTTTATACTAGATTGACCAACTTTGTGAAATGAAAAATTGCAAGGAACCATGGGGTCATTTGTGTTCCTCTCCCAAGACAAGTGAGCTTACTTTATTACTAGTCGAGGACAGAAGCCTTGTAAAATGTTTTTTTCCCCTATTTACTATATTTAAACCATAATTGACTTTTATTTTGGTTTTATGACTTTAAAATATTTGGCTATGCACTGAAGATTTTCATTTTGGATTTATTGATTCTATGTATATATATATGTCATATCTATATGGTAATCCAAACATTTTATACTTGTAATAGTCAAAGTGGTTCTTTTTCTATTGATATAGGAGATGAAGAGTCAGTGTGATGAGAAAATGTCTGACTTTATCTTTTCTAAGACTAGAACAATCTCTACAAATAGTAAGTTTATTCATATGTTTTTGGCGGTCTCTGAATTAATTTATATTTTCATTTTTCAGTTTAGAAATTGTTTGGAGAGATGCAAAATATGGTCCAAGAATCCAAGAACTTTGTGCTTCAAGTTTTTTCATTTTTTAATATATGTAATCACACTTAAAAATTTGGGCAAATTTCACTTTACTCTCTTGTGGTTTAGGCCGGGTGCGGTTTACCCCCTGACATTCGAATATTACCACATAACCTCCATGTGGTTGATGGACTAAAGTGCACCGTTAGCTTTTCTGTCTAACATGATGGAATGTGAGAACCACTCGCCTATGTGGAGAGTAGGTTCATTTTGAAAACGAAAATACACCTTGCACAACTTCAAATTTACAAAAAAATACCATTCTTTTTTCTCTCTCTACTGTATCTCTATCTACTCCATTTCTATATATCCATTAACACCTCCTATACTTGTTGGAAAACATCACAATAACATCACAATACCATTCTTTTGTCTACTATCATCACAATAACATCACAATACCATTCTTTTGTCTACTATGGAAATCTGAAATCAACATTTTTTTTTTCCAATCAAAGATATATATATATCTTGATATATATTTATCAACACCTTTTAATTTCTGGATCAACACCTTTTTTTTTTATTCTGTAATTCATCAAATAAGATTGACATACACACACATATATATATATATATGTAGATGCATAGTGAACACACACAGACACGTGTGTGTGTGTGTTATATTTCTGAAATCAACATGTTTTTGGAATCATAAAATCATTTTGGATTCATCAGCATCATCATCCGAAACACACAGCAAAAATCATCGAGTTTATGAATTGGAGTACAATCAAAGAGCAAAAATCATGATTTTTGGGTTTTTGTTTTGGGTTTGATTTGTATATATGAAGATGAGATTGTAAACGGGGTTTGATATGTACATATATACACATAATCAAGAAAAAGATGAAGATGATTCTGAACTGGGAGGGTAAACTCCAGTTCATATATACATATCAAACCAGTGAAAATGGGTTTGATTATGTGTACATATTTTTTATGAAGAATCAGAGGGGTTCTAAAAATTGGATTTGAAATCAACATTTTTTTTATTCTTATTATTCTGAACTAGAGAGAGAGAGAGAAGAAGAAGAAGTATTTGAACTGGGGGTAAATCGAATTGGGTTACCCCTGAAATAATATATATATGAGGGTATAATTGTCAATTTACAACTTCTGTTAACAGAAGTTAGTTTGTGTTTTAGTTCATCAACCACATGGGGGTTATGTGATGATATTCGAATGTCAGGGGGGTAAATTGCACCCGGACCAAACCCTTTGTATATACTTTTTGAACATTCAACTTTCATTTATGAAATATATGATATTATTCCATTCAATATGTGGTTGTGATTCAAATGATAGTATATATTGTCTATTACATTTTTCAAGTGCGCGTACAAAAATAATATTGATTATTCTTCAAATATGTCGAACTCCCTTTTTTTATCACACACATTAACTGTGATGAGAAATGCATATAACATGTGATTTTATCTCATTATTAATTACACTTAAAATCTATGATATAAATATTTGTTATCACAGGTTTTATTAGTTATTAATCACATTTAAAAGATGTGATCTAAATATTTATTATCACACGCAAAATGTGTAATGGAATCATCTTTTAATGACACTCAAAACGTCACACTCCCAAATATCACACTTAGACAAAACTTAAAATGTATGATTAAATAACATACATCACACATATCATTATTCATTGGCTCGATTTGTACCAGAGAAAGCGGAAGAGATAGTTGTTGTCTCTATTGTTGTCTCATTGATTCTGTTAAAGCTTATAACATTCTTTCCATACAGTCCATCTGAGCATCAGAAGATTTTGTTACATCATCACTTCTTGTCCTTTCCATATTCTATAGGTAAACAGAGCACTAATCAACCTAGGTAAATAATCTTCATAGTTTTCACAATGTTCGTATTCATTTTATTTCTTGTTACACATGTTCATACTTTCATTTCAGTTCAAATTTGTCCATATGATTTCACACACACCCACACATGCAGATGTAATGTCCCTAATTCTTTGTTAGGACATCCTATAGTTCATATGGACTCGTGTGTGCGATATAACACGTGCTCTAATACCACTCTGTCACTACCAAAACCTGCCCCCTATAGGTTTAGCATCGTAACCGAAAAGAAATCCTAAGATTACCGAAGGCCTCTGAAACATAATAGCAAAATAAATGGCCTAGCAGAAGTAAATATCCAAATATAATATCCATAGAGTTATGTAGATGTATATGAGACATAAATTTTAAACTTTATTTACATATATATGACGTCATAATTTCATCAGTCTTACGTCATCTTTATATACGAATAAAGCCAAAATGGGACTTAGCCCTATTTACAAATAGCACAAAAACTTATCCAACAAAAGAAAGTAAAGACTAAAAACTTGTTCACATGACTTGACCACTAGTAGGTGTCATAACCTCCATGGGAGGCGCATAAGTTGGCTGACACAAGCAGATCCAAACTGGGCGTCTCAAGCCTGGTCACAAGCCTGATCACCTACATATATAAATATAAAAAAGGGTAAATTACAAATACACACTCTGAGGTTTGCTTAAGATACGAATTGCCCCCCTGTGATTTGGAAAATTATAAATACTTCTCTATCATAATTTTTTACTTAACAGAATTAATTGAAAAAGTGAAATTTCTAACTGTTCACTTAAACAATAATAAAATTATCTAAATTATTAATTGAAATAAAATTTTAACATTATTAAAAACTGTTAATTAACTTGATGATTTATTAATAAAAGAACCTATTTGTTATGAAATTTGAAACCTTAAGGGGCATAATGTAATTTCTAGAACCACAGGGAGTAATTTATAATTTAAGTAAACCTCAGATGGTGTGTTTGTAATTTACCCTATAAATAATGAGCTAGAGTCTAGTGAATAATCTCATTGTAAAGAGGTTAAATAAATGAGTTCTATATATAGGAAAGAACATTCTCATCACAAACGAAGCATTCATCTAAGATATATATTTAGTATACATAAGGTTTATCAAACCTTTTAGAGTTAATTACATTTCGTGGTATAACCCAATGGTACTGAACAGAACATTAGCAAAATGACTACAATAGACCGAGGACTTAGGCACAACGATCACAATGGATCGACAGATACATAACAACCACAATAGATCGACTTATGCATAACGACCACAACTAATCGACGTGTGCATAACAACCACAATGGATCGACGTGTGCATAACGAAGATTTTCCTAAATCAAAGCATATGTTCATGGATGTCACATTCGATAATCAAAAGGGATCTCATTCATTCTCATCAAACAGAAGTTTTCAAAAAACTTGTCATATCATAATCACTTCGAAATTCCATAGCATGACTTAACATTTCAGGAAATACTCATCATATTGGACATTTCGTAAACAAAACATAGATTTCATAAAACATCGTATAGCATAGTCATTTCAAAATGATTAATACGAAAATATCTTTATAAAGACATTACTCACCTTGACTAGTTCGATGTTCTTCTACAACGTTCGAACCTACACATTACACATAACGGTGCACATGTTGAAACTCAACGTTCAAACCAAATGAATATTTTCTAATCATTTACTTATGTTGTTTCTTAGCTTCTTAATCCTTAATAGGTCATAATTCACGCTTAAGAATGCCCGAAAAGAGATGTGAACGAAGATATGAACTTAAATCACCTTTTGAAAGCATGCTGAAAATTAGTTGTTGGCTAGAGCCATCTTTTGGTCGCTAAAGCCATCTTCGCTTGAGTCACCATTTGGTAGCTCGGGCCAACTTTTATAGAGTGAAAAATACTGAGAGCTCGAAATGTTGGCTCAGGCCACCACTTGGTCGCGCGAGCCATTTGTGAATTTTCTGGGTTTCTAGACAGAAAATTTGAGTTCCAAAAATGCATTTTAACATGTAAAAGCTTCCATGGCCATTCCAAACTCATGAAAACACTTTGATAATCATAAAAACATTTTAGAAAACCCAAATACAAGATCATTCATAAATCATTTTCTCAAAACTTCTATACATGCATCAATTCAACTTCAATTCCCTTCCAAGACTTTCAAAACACGGAATTAATCTTCAAAACTTCTTAATTCATGAATGCATGTAAGGTATGACCCTTAATTCATGCATAAACAACATGAGTCATGCTCAAAAGGGTGAAACTAACCAAGATTATACATACATGGATGATGTAACCTCTAATTCTTCATCATATGCTCAATTCATGCAATCAATCTCATTATCTTCTTCAATTCATATAATTATTGACTTAAGCTCCTAAATTAAGGTTCAAAAAATCACCTAGAGCCTTGAATCACACTTGTATTAGGCAATTCTTTGAGTTCTATTTCACAATTCTCCAATCTCCTTGAAATTCATTAAGTTCTTGCTTCATTCTCTCTGAAATGGTGTTCTCTCCCTCTCTAAAGTTCTCCCTTAACTTTGTATAGATGATGAGCTCAAAGATTATGAGCCTAAGCACTAACTCATCACATATATATATATATATATGTAGTGATTAGCTTAAACTAAGCAAACGTGCTTAAGGTTAATTAATTACACTTAGTTTAATCAATTTAATCTAATTAATTTAATCCGATTCAATTTTTAATTAAACTTACCAAAGTGTTCTAAAATTCCAAACAACTGATTCATGTAACCAATTTCAGTTTCAGATGTCGATAAGGCTTTCAATTTTCATATCATAACAGAAATTACGACAGATATTTCTACGATGAACAGATAAACATTCAAAAGACGCCAATCATATAATCACATGCTTAATTACCTAAGAATTTCACTTAAGCACATGATTAATTTTCTTAATTACTGATTAATAACTAATTATGGAGTGGGGTTGTTACATCTACTTTTCAATCTGGCCGTTGGAGAATAAAATCTGAATTTACAACTTTTGCCAAGTCTTATATGCACGCCTTCATGCCATTTGGACTTCCAATGTCACCACATACTATTTCAGCCACCACTGATTGAGAAGCCCAATCGTCCTCCACATCCACCTCCTCACTCCATTCCACCTCATTCCTCTCATTAGATGCCACCTTATTTAAACACTCCACCTCATGTTCTACATAAGCATCATCTTTTTTACTCTTCTCAGAAGCTTGTCCACCATTAACGGTGCAAGGAGCTCTTGATTGTTGGAGCTAATGTCCTTGCGAATATGCATGAGACACTACGCTTCCGTAACCTCTTTAGACACCATAACTTGCTCCTCACACACCCTTACTGGGTAAATTATCCCCTTAGGCCATGTTTGTTTGGGTAGACATGAGTTTGGGATTGGACTAATAGTCCAATAAAATTATTAATCCGATGTTTGGTTAAACAATTCAAGTACGGATTAATTATTTTACACATACTATTAGTTAAGATAGGATACATAATCCAACGGATTAGTTGTCCTAGGATTATTAGTCATGAGAATGCTAATCCAGTCCGCCCAAACAAACATGGCCTTACAGTTCAAGTTTACCACCGGATTGATGAGGCGCATGTGCTTTGTAGCAATTTTTACTTCACCACAGCTAAATGATGTCATTCGGGAAGTGTCTTCAGCAAGCGCAAAACTCATAATGGATTTTGATCTTGACAATAACACCCTCATATAGCAACCCATTGCCTTCTTCATTCGTTATTACTGTCATATCTCCATCATTCCTTGCTCGAACCACATCTTCAAAAGACATCCTACCCCCCTCAACATATTATTGTTTTTGCTCCCATTTCGTAACTGTAACAGAGCCTTTATCAGAACCAACCCCTGTTCTAGTGCTTCTCTCAGATTGTCCCTGCTTTTGGTCTTTTCCAAACTCTACCATCTTTACTTTTGGAGACCCGTCATCCCACCATGGCCCATCTTCTTTTTGAATGGCTACCTTCGCCGCCAGTGGACAAATCTTACGAATCCAACCTTGACTTTCTAGCTTTCTTAATCTTTCCTGGAATAAAAACATCCTTCACCACTCCAAACTTTGTAAACAATAAGAACAACCCCTTTGGATTCATGGACAGTGGTAAATTGTCAACGAACACTGTGACAAGCTCCGATCCACTCCTACCAGTAGCAAACCTTTGTGATTGCGGCTCTTCCCATAGATCACCGGCTTCCACCCTCCTCCACCTTCATTCTCTCCCATTGGAACTAGTTTAACTTATATATGTGGATTGTCTATCAAAATACATTTTACTACCAATCTCTTTTATTTCCTTAATTATTAGAATATTTGTATATAATGAACAAAACCAACTCAGTCACTCTGGGGAAGGGGAGATTTGCTTGTAGAACAATGGAAATTATTAGAATATTTGTGATTTTAAAATATTCTTACAACGTTTTGCTTTGCTTTTTATGAAATTTTTAACTAAATAATTTCCATTGGCATGGTGTTCTGGCATGGTGTTCTAGTACCTAACCTCTAATCCTGAATTTGTTATAGTGATATCTAGCCACTATTTTAAACAACTGGTTCATTGTTAAAATTCAAAACCAATTAACTTCTACATTTATGTCACATGGAATTAAAAGATTTGTTTCAAAACTAATGAGACTTCCACCAATCAATTTCTTGTGAAAATTGGAACTAATAATAGGTCAATGGTGATTTTCTTTGGAAATTCAATGGAGCCATGGTGCTCATACCAGTAAGTACTTTCTGTATTGTCCCCATCCTCTATCTGGATTATAGGTTTTTCCCTTTTTGTGGCTACATTTGGATCTTAAATTTGTAAAAGGAAACTAAAGGGAAAATATAAAATGGAAGAACGTAAAGTTCTCTCTTTTTTTTTTGATTAGATTAGGAAAATGCGAATAAGACAATAGGTATTTGTCAAACAAATAAAAAAATAAAAAATGTTATTTGTTGGGTTAACCATAAAAGATGAATATTCATGTATGAATTTCAATTTCCTTTCCTTTTATTCATTTGGATTGATGGTTTAAGAGGGGAAGGAAAGGATGTGAAGAGATAAAATTCGTTAAATCGTGTTTGGGTTCTTTTGTAAGAGGGAAAGGGAAGCGTATGGAGTGATCACGAGGGGGAGAGAGTGTAAGTATTTTAAGGACTTCACTTTTCCTCCAAAATTGGGAAGAAACGGAAGCAAAGGAAAGTGCTTCACATAGTAATATATTAAAATATCTAATTAAATATATATCTTCTTAATTAAGCTGCTTTTTTTTTTTTGTACATATATATTTTTTTTTTTGATCGGCAAAAGAAATGGATTTTAGTGATGATAATAGCCTACAATACATAAGAAATTCGTCACAAAGCGAAGACAAGAGTAAAAAGTATCTAAGTATTGCTTCCTAATTCTAACTAGATTGGCACTAAGAAGAATACATAATCATATGCTAGCCCAAGCCACGAAAGTTGATGAGAAACCAACAACACAGAAAGCAAAACACCAAATAACAATCCTTAATTCCAAGCCCTAAACATGCTAATAACCACTAATATTTAACACTAGGATTGTGCAAAATACCGCATGATTCACTAAAAACTGCATTGATCCACACCGTTTTATCCGCTACCTGCGGATTAAATTTTAAAATTTATAATCTGCATTCCAAACCGTTCTACTCCGTTATAGTTAATACATATATATTTTTAATCTCCAATAAAATATCAAAGTAAAAATGAATGTGAGAGATATTTAAGATGTGAAATTTGTTACAAATTAGTAGTTATATATATGAAACATATTATATAAAATTACTTTGTGTTATATATATATATAATATTATGCAAATTAGTGTTATGTATTATGCAAATGTTTGATAATTTATTAGAATATTCTTCAATTCGCTAATCCTCCAATCGACCATTTAATTTATAATTTTACTCTTAAACCGCCCGAACCCCACACACCCCTACTTAACACAAACAACAACAGACCCAACTGTGAAGCAATAGGTTAGAAGCATATACTGCTCTATTGTCTAAGCAAACAAGAGAGAGAAGACTTTCTCTTCCTTTCCTTCTTCTTCCTTTTCCCTTCCGTTCCATTCCCTTCCCCGTAATCCCCCTCAATCCATAATTTACACATTCGTACAAGGGTTTTAGCTTTCCACTAACATTCTATTTGCTTTGGATCAAAAATTTAAAGAGGAATTTGCAAAGGGAAAAGAAAAGGGAACAAGGAAAAAAAAATTAATTTATATTTCATTTTCATTCGCATTTTCCTTGACTTCTTTCTTTCTCTTTCTAAATCCCTACAAAATTTATGATCCAAGCACATAAATTCATCCATTATCGTACTTCTGTCTTCCTAGTGTATCCAAACACAACCTAAAGAGAATTTGAAATTCGAACTAAGTTGACCTAGAACTAGATGCCCTTTAAAGCACATAGCATGATTCAAGAGGCATATTTGTCATTGTTCATTCACATCTATTATGTTGCAAAAAAATGAAAAAATTGTTGCACTACTGACAAACTCTTGTGCCTAGCCACTCATTTTTGCTCTGCCATAATTAACTTTTGCGTGATCATTAAATATCAGATGAGGAAGACAATCTTCTCCAAGGAATTAATAGTTACAGGCAATCCTTAAACATGCCAGCCCTCTCAAAGAATGACAAGGCGGGGTACCTTGCCGATGAAATAGCCGACCAGTTAGAGCACCAACCTTGCATGACCACCACTAGCCCCATTACCACCGCATCAAGCTCCCGACCCCAAATTACCAATTTCCCTGATCTTTTGGAGAAGTGCAATATAGACATAAATACCACTAGAGACGGGGTCATATATATTGCCTGTTTGTGTTCCCAAGCTCATTCCAACTTTGGTCCTCACAAACTACACGCAATCCCAGTTTTCAAGGTATGTCAATAACTCCAAGTACACCAGAGTTGGCATAGGTTCAGAAGACGATTGGATGGTTGTTGTCTTGACGACAAACACACCGACAAGAAGCTTTTTTAGTGCAGCTGATATGATTTTTGAGGTTGGTTTGAGTAGGTGCTTGATGTTTTTGTTGTAGGGAATGTTTTTGTGTGTTTGGTTGAATTAATGAATAGATTTTAGTTTGTTTTGTGAGGTGCATAAAATGTTTTTTTTGTGTAAAGTTGTGACCTAAGAAGAGAAAGTTGAGCAACAGACATGTTTCAACTTCTCATTGTAATGTAATATCTTCTGGTTGGGCATTATATGCTGCTTTGAGCAGATGTGTGATTAACAAATATGGAAGGCCTGTTGTTCATGCACTAAATTTAACATAACAGTCTGTTTGGATTGTGCGATTTGGTAAGAAGTAATTACCAATGATGTGAGAAAAAGAATGTCATATTTGGTTTACAAATCAAGTTAGGTGAGAAAATATGACAATCGGAGAGAAATCCGTTTGGTTGTGTTTTGAAAATATAATTCTACACCTACATTTGAATATGATGTTTGGAAGGAGTTTTTGAATCAGTTTTCCAAAACCCTACAGAGAACTCTGTCTCAGGCGCGATTCAGAATTTTTTTTTTGCAAATTTTGTCTAACCGGTTGTCCGGCCAGTTGACTGAAATAGTGAATTTTTTTTATTTTTTATTTTATTTTTTTGCAATTGATATGTTAATTTTTATACAATCGAAAAAAACATTTTCCGAATTTTTTAAAATTTTTTATGTGCTTTAAAATAATTTTGAGTTGTATCTTGGGTTATGATTTGTAAATTTTTGTAAATGTCACATCAATAATTGCTCACTTAAATCAAAACTCTTTTCAAAACTATTTTCAAATCTCTTTACCAAACAAATTTTTCACACTCAAATCATAATTCCAAACATCACAAACTCAAAATACAATTCATACTCTCAAATCATAGTTACAAAGCTCTACCAAACGCAACATAATATTCTTACTATTTTCAACCTTCGCTCAGTTTTGTTTTTTTTTTTTTTAAATAAATAAATAATGTAAACTAAAGACAAATACTGATTTAATTGATAAAATCAACTTTTTAAGTGGCTTTTGTTTTTGTTTTTTTATCTTTAGTGGATAATTTTAAATGATTTATTGATAAAATCAACTTTTGGCTTTTATTTTTGTTTTTTTATCTTTAGTGGATAATTTTAAATGTTCATTTATTTTTAAATTTCTTTTTTGAAAGCTTTAGTCTCAAAGTTACTCTTTTTTTTTTAATATAAAAAAATTGGGAAAATAGCAATAAAAAAAGTTGTTTACAACTAGGCCCAACAAAATCAATAACCATACTTGAGGCAGATTCCCAAACAAAGATTCCCAAAAAAAAAGAAAAAAAGATTCCCAAACAAAACTAGCATTTAATGTTTATTTAGTTAAAACAACTTAACACAATTTTTTTAACCTAAGCAGACTTAGCCCTATTTAGTAGAACTGTGTAAAAATGATTATGAATTATAATTTAACAGATTATAACTTATAGCTGTGAACATAAATTGTTAACCTGTTTGGTACAGTTGTGAGATTATGAATTTAAGCAGCAAATTAGTATTTGATTGATAAGCTGTAAAATAATTTTTTGTTGTGTAATTGTCTTTTTTACCCTTATATAATATAAAAATAATTATTTTGTCATTTTTTTCAGTTTTAATTTTAAAAAAATTATTTCATTAATAAAATTTAATATAATTAGTATTACATAAATTATTATTTTCATTTTTTCATTATAAATCAATTAGTATTAAGTTATTTCATTTTTTCATTATAAATTAATTAGAGTCAATTAATGGCTTATTTTCATTTTTTCATTATAAATTATTATTTTCCATTTTTCATTATAAATCAATTAGTATAAAATTATTTCATTATAAATGGCTTATTTTCATTTTTTCATTATAGATTATTATTTCCATTTTTTCACTATAAATCAATTAGTATAAAATTATTTCATTTTTTTCATTCTAAATTAATTAGTGTCAATTAATGGCTTATTTTCATTTTTTCATTATAAATTATTATTTTCAATTTTTCATTATAATTCAATTAGTATAAAATTATTTCATTTTTTCATTATAAATTAATTACTATATATTTTTTTCATTTTTTCAATTAATATAAAATTTATTTCATTCATAGCTAAAATGCTTAATTTCTATTATTATTTTTTTGATTAAAAAAAATACTGAAAACTTCCACATACACAAAAACTAAAACCCTAGCTCCAGCAGACACAGCTGCGATGAACCGGTGCTAGGGTTTGAGATCGCCTCGCACGATTGATCGCGATGGGAGATGGGGGACGATAACGGAGGCACACATAGAAAAAGAGAGAGACCAACAACAAGAGACACACACACACACACACACACAGAGAAATCGCGATAGTTCAGATCGCGACAATGGCGTTGGTTCAGATCACGATGGCGACGAACCAACGCCGGAGAGATAGAGACAGAGAAAGAACACAAAGAGAGAGAGAGAGAGAGAGAGAGAGAGAATAGCTCGAAATCTTAGCTAGAATAGTCGCTGGAAATCGCCTCTTAGGCTGCCGGAAATCGCCTCTCACGCGCTCTCTCTCTCTCTCTCTCTCTCTGGACATGAACAGTGTTTGATTGTCAAGTTTATATAGTGGTATTTTGGTAATTTCTAAATTTTTGAAGAGGCATCTGAGTTATTTCGCCCCTCTATAACTAGTTGCGCGCATAAGCTAAAAAAAAAAAAAGCACATCTGAAGCAGCTTACAACTTTTAGCTCAAAATTAATTAATTTAAGTTATAATCTATCTCTCATAGGCCCTATTTGGTACAGCTTTTTCAGCTTATTTCAGCTTTCAGCTTAATTTAAGCTATTTTGATGTGTTTGGTTTAGCTTAACAATGCAACTTATAGCCTTTTGTAAGTCAGAAATCAGCTTATTCTTTGAGTGAGGCAGGAGAAGCTTAATTTATAAGTTAGAAATCAGCTTATGTTCATAGTTATAAGCTATGAACTGTTAAGACATAAGCTATAAGCACTTTCCCACAGCTCTACCAAACAGGGCCATAAACTCAACCAAACACTTCAAAATAACTTATTTTAAGTCAAAAGCTGATTTAACCTGCTTATAAGCTCTACCAAACAGACCCTTAATCATGTTAATTATGCAATTTAAATATGTAGAACTTAACACATCTGCTAAAACGTATTCAAGATCTAGCCGCCAAGTTTTACATAATTTTATATCAAAAGTGGTCTTGTAGTTCCAATTTTTAATTCTAAACTTTCATAATTTTTGTCCATATATATTGTGGGGATGTATTTTTGAGTACCGACACATGGCAAGGTGACGCCGACGTGTCAGCCGAGGTGTCACGTGTTAGGGTCATAACACCGAGGTGATCTCAGTCAAGTCGAGGTTATCTCCGAAGATATCGGAATCCGAGATAAGCGGATAAGAGATAAGGGACAAGAGTCCTAGAATAAAGAGGAGACTTAGCCAAGATAAGGATAAAGCTCTTAGGGAGTTTATCTCTATCTCTAAAGGAGTCCAAAGTAAGTATAAAGCAGGAATCCATAGAAAGTCAGGCTTCTATTGGGATTAGGATTGAGGTAACTATAAAAAAGAGGCACCCCCGTGGGTCAAAGGTATGCAATTTAAACTTTGAGCAGTGAGTTTAGCACTTGATTATCTTTGAGAGATATACTGACTTGATCGTCGGAGTGCCCCCGGGTGGAAGAACCACCGCCGGAGCCTTCTCTTTCTGTTACAGGTTAGCTGAAGCCATCTATTTTGCCGGTGCTCTCTAGCTGATTACTAAACAGGCAGTGTGATCAGAAAATCACTCACACAATTTAGCGCCGTCTGTGGAAAACTTGAAGAATAGATGGCCAGTAACGGACAGAAGGAAAAGATTGGGGACGACACTCCTGCTGGGAGTGGCAGACCAATCGACCTTGATATCAAAAGAGACAACCACAATACAGAAACTGGTGACCAGGGCCACGGAGAGAAAGACGTCAGCCAGGAGGGCGACACTTTGAAGAAGACAGATTAAAGCAAGTACTATAACGAAGATAACCTCCAGGTATGGAGGGATAGGTGCCTGCGGAGGGATGAAGAAGTAAAAGACTTGGCAAACAAGTTGGCAGACCAGCAGTCGGTCGTCAACTTCATGATGCAAAACAATGTCACGCAGCCACCGTACCCGCTGCAGGACACGCCGATTCCAGCAACTAATGCCCAGAAGAGAGGAAGGAAAACAATCCCCGAAGCCCCTCAGCACACCAGAAGCGGAAGGCACTCTCACCGACCTTCCAAGGAAGTCGGACGAGAAGAGCCGAGACGAGAGGAGTCCCGAATGACGTATCACACGAAGGACCCAGAGCCCAAAAAATATCGGCATGTTCAAGGACAGGCACTCTGCTTTGACACAACCCATGGAGAAAGATCAAAACGGGCCCACTACGAGGCCGAAAATAGTGTGCCGAAAAGATTGAAGTCCAAAGATAGCTGAGCTCCAAGGAGGAGTAAAGAAGACTTGAGAGATTACCTCAAGAGGAAGCAACAGAATACTGAAGCCGAGGTAACTTCCCCGGTTAAGCCAATGACACCCTTCTCGGTGGAACTGGACAAATTTGAAGCACCAAAGAGATTCAGTATGCCGAGGTTCCAAATATATGATGGTAAGTCAGATCCCAACTTTCACATTGGACTATACCTGAATTCAATGGTATTATATAATGGGAACGAGCTGTTACTCTGCAAAGTATTCCCCTTATGCTTTGGGGAGATTGCATCAGATTGGTTCCATAAACTACCGAAGGGAAACGTAAAGACTTGGGAAGGCCTGGCCGAGATATTTGTGGCCAGGTTTGTGACGAACAAACTACAGCCCTTGAGGGTCGACACACTGATGACTTTAAAAATCACCAAGGATGAAGGCCTTAGGGCCTACGCAAAAAGGTACTACGAGGTGTTCAATCGAATACCCGAATGCAACCAAGAGGTGGCGGTCATGCCTTTCAAGAACGGCCTAAAAAATGACTGCCCACTATGGAAGTCTTTGGCAAAGACATTGCCGAAAAGAATGGAAGAACTCATGGCGAGAATCGAGAAGTACGCCAGAGCCGAGGAGGATACGTCGGGAAACAAAGAGACAAAGCAGGAGAAAGGAAAAGGCTCGCCGAAGTGAAGCCGAGGTAACAATGGATCGATCAAACAAGAAACGGAATTGAGGGCTAAACAGGCAGTGACGACTGTGTTCCAAATCCCGGTCCAGAAAGTCCTGGATCAAATACGAAACCAACCC